GGCTTGCCTCCAGAAACTCAATGAATGTGGAGAAACGACCAAAGTTATACAAGTGTTCAGGTCTTTCATTCATAGGGTCACTATGAGTCCTCTATGACTCAACAGCACTCAACAACAACAGACTGGAACTCAGGACTTTAAACTCCAAGATCAATGTTATGTTGACAAAAGACTGACTGGATGATGCTGTTATTGTTATGTGCCATCTCATTAATTACGACTCATATGAACAATAGATCTGAACCTTGTCCTATCCTCTCAGTCTCTGACATACTCAAGTTCATTGCCATTGTCACTGTGTCAGTCCAACCATCTTGTTGAGGTTACTCTCTCCTCTGACCCTCTTCCTTTCCCAGAATGATGCCTTTTCCCAAGGACTGGCTCTTCCAACAATATACCCAAAGTATATGAGACAGTGTTTCATCGCCCTTGCCTCTAATGACGACCCCATTTTTCACTTACTTCAAGACAGATTTGTTTATTCCTTTTAGTCTATGGAATATTTATTATTTTTTCCACACCATGGTCCAAAGACATCAATTCTTCTTCTGTTATCTTTATTCATTTTCTAACTCTTATATCCATAGGACGTGATTTACTACACAGAGATGCTTTGTTATTCCAGAAGAAAATAGATAAATTCTAACTGCATACCTCACTACGGTTAATTACTCCTTTTATTTGTATATTCACAGTTAGTACCTTCTCCCTTTGCATAAGTACTTACAATTTGAATTGTTTTCCATAATTTTCATTCATTTTTCCAAGCTCTAAAACTCTTCAGGTTGAGTTGGAAACAACTCATAGCTGACCCTTCACTGAGTTATCAAGTCTATAAAAGAATGGAAGATGACTGTCCATTTTTCTTCCAAAAAGCCAATGGTGAATTCAAACCACAAGAGAAGTATGACTTTTGAATTGTCAGTACAGCTTCCTATGGACTACCACCAGAGTCCCCCATATGCTAGGAAATTTACCCCGAAGAGGAGATGATGTTATTTCCTTAGCATAAGATTTAGAAATGTCTATCTTTCTATAAATCATTTTTGAAAGTGCTTCTTTGATAGAAGGTTGTTTTCTTGTTGTTGTTGTGTACTGTCAAGTCTGGACCAACTTGTAGCTGATCCGCAGGCAGGTTGTCAGAGGCAGTAAATCATAGGGGAGAGGAGATTGCCAGAGAATATAGTAAATTTGAACCACTTACCTTTGCAGAGGCAGCTCAATTCCTTACAAGTAAGCCACCACCAAAGGGCTCAAGTATGTCAGAGAAGATGAAGGTGGTATAGAATGGGAAAGGATTCCTGTCTGTTCTTTGTAAGGTTGCTATAAGTTGTACTCAACTCATTGGCACATAACAACTAGCCAGCAGATGTCCCTTTATTGAAGATTGTTGTTTTTGTTGTATAAAGTCAGTCTAGTCAGAGTGCACAGAAAGTGATTGTCCCTCCTTTTCCCACAGAGCAATTGGTGGATTTCAGCTGCGTGCCTTTGGGATTGCTGCCCAGTTTCTTACCACTAACCTACCAGAGCTTTAAAGGACAGTTATACTGATTGTTGTTGTTGTGTACCACTGAGTTGGGATCGACCCATAAATGACCCTCCAGCAGGTTTTCAGAAGCAGTTAATTGCACAGGAGGAGAGTGTCCAGCCTTCTCTTGTAGATCAGCTCGTGGATTTGAACCATGTACCTTCAGGATTGCAGCGTAGGGAGGACAATGATACTGATGATTTGCAGGGACAGTAGTGCTCGAGAAGGATTTAAGTTTTCAAATTATTTTAGGATTCAAATACTAAAAGCAGATTTTCAGTTATCTATATTTTATTGTTAACAAAGACTATGGACTATTGGTATGTTTAATGTTTGTTCTGGGAAATAAGAACCTATATTTTCCATTACCTAAAGTTATGGGTTGGTTATTTAGCACTTGAAAAACCTGAGACATCTCTAACATAAGAATGGATGAACTTGTTTTTTTTCCCCCTCCCCTAAACTGGGAGTCCTTTTGGAAAACTCCTCAAAGAGTAAAAATTAAAATGATATTGCATATCCAGCTCCTACCAGGCTAATCTTTTTCTGAAAATAAGAATGCTTTCTTGAAATAAAGTAATTTATATTCTTAGCCATGCTCTATTATATGCACTGAGTAATTTCTTGAGAGCAGTGTTTAGTGTTGGCACATTGCCAAGATTAGTTTATTTGTTTTGTTGTGTTTTTTTTTCATTAGGCTGCTTTTTATTACCCACACTGCCGTACACGTGCATCGCTCTGTTTCCTTTTAGGACTGCCAGTAGAGTTTAAGCACAGGAGTGATGCTATGAGTGGGTAGAATATTTTTGTGCACTGGATGACCATTTAAGTCTGTGGCCATGATACCATACTAATGGCTTTAATCTTTCAAATAACTTCCACGTATACATTATCCATAGCCTAATATTAATTGCATTCATTCAATTCTTTAGTCCCTGTTCAGGGAAAGACATTAGTCTCCCTTTGCTCCATTCTAGAACTGTCTTTAGCCCATTCTCCTTGATTTCCTTTGGAAAAGTCAGCAAGATCCACATATTTCTTAGGTCTGGGCCTGGAGTATTTTTTATTTGTTTATAATTTCTTGCATTCAATCACAAAGTCAAACTTTCTTTTAAAAAGGTGATTTGAGTGAAAGTTTATAAATAATATTTTTGGTTTTATAACACTAGGCACCGAGCCACAATTTCTGGTAGTCCCCCTACTGTCTTTACCTGCACTCATCTTAAAAATGTCTATTATCATATTAGATCAATATAGATTAATGGCAGGATATTATATCAATAGTAGCAAGAAAAAGTCTATTGTCTATTCGTCTACACTCTGTTCGCTATCCCTTCCCATCCAAGAATGAGTCTACATATGTGTAAACCTATACTTAATTTTCTTATAATATTGGACTTATACAATATTTGTCTTTTTGTTACTGACATCACTCAGCATAATTTACTCTAGGTTCACCCATGTTGTACAGTATTTTCAAATCCATTATTATTCTTTTGTATTACATAGTACTCCACCATGTGAATCTCCCATAGTGTTTTGGGGTTTTTTTTAACCATCCACCAATTGATGAGCTCTTGGGTTGTTTCCATCTCTATGTTGTTGTAAATAATTCTGTAATAAACATGAATGTGCATAAACCAGTTGGTATCACAGCCCTTATTTCATTAGTCTGAGCTCGGGTGGCCCAGTGAGAAGGATTTGCACTATCAACCCAAAAGCACACAGTTGAAATCTACCAGATGCTCCACAGGAGAAAGGTGAGCAGTCTCTTCACATGTGACTACTGCCTTTGAAAACCCACTAAAGGGTCCACTTTGACTTGGTCCAACTCAACAGTACATAACCACCATATACATAGTTAATAGTGAGATAATTAGATCAAGAGGTATTTCCATTTTCAACTTTATAAGGAAGTTCCTGAATGCTTTCCATGGTAGTTGACTTCTTGATAGTTTTCAAATCCATCATCTTTTAATTCTTACCTTAGTCAAATTGATATTATCTCTAGATCAACTTTAATAACCTCTTCACAACCTCCACACTCCTAAGACAACTTTTTCCCAGTTCATTCCCTTTTTTCCTCATTGTCTATAATTTCTGTAAATAGGTATTCTGTGATTTAATAAGTATATTTTTTTACAACATGTCATTAATAGGCTAGAGTATGACTTCTCAAGGAAAACAGAGTGATCTGAATTTAATTAGCTTCTCTATAAACTTTTTTTTTCCTTTCCAGGGAAAATCTTGGTTGCAGACTCAGACAAGTTCAGGGACAAAAGATGTGATCAATAAATTTCTATATTAAAATATTAATCAGATGTTTAAGAAATAATTGAGATCATAGAATTTCAGGACTGGATTGACTTCATAACTTCAGATGTGAAAAAACTGAGACCAAGTCAGAAGTCAAAATGGTCTTTCTAAATTTGAAAACTCATCATCTTATCCTAAAACTTGCCCATTGTTGTTGTTATATGTCATCAATTTGGAGCCAACACATAGCTGAACTTCAGTAGGTTTCAGGGCCTATAAATGACAGGAGGGAGTGCTCATCTTTCTCTCAAAGAGCAGCTGATGGATTCAAACCACTTGCATTAGACTTAACAGCACACCTCCTTACCAGCTAGGCTACAAGAGTTTAACAACAATAACAAAAACAAGAAAAAAAAAACCCACAACAAACAAACCAAAAAAAAACTACCAAGAAGCAAAACAAAAAAAACCTGGCCTGAGGGTGGGGAGAGGGTAGTGGTATAATCATAGGCTCACATAATCTGATGGGTTGAAGGGAGGGTGGGTTAAGAAAATGGCAAAGATCTCTAGTGTGAAAAACAATGTATATGAGCTTTGTATGTAAGCCAGTATATAATATTTTAAAAAATGCAACAGACCCAATAAAATAAAAATTAAAAAACCAAAACTTACTCATAGCTTTTCATTAAAAATGAATTGAAGTATACACTCCTCAGCAGAGCGTATAATGTCCGTGTACCTTGTTCTTTTGTTAACAACCAGGAGTCTTAGGAGAGTTACAGTCAAAATATTCTTTACAAGGAAGGATAGAGAGGCTTTGTTTCACATATTTTGGGCTTGTTCTCAGGAGAGGCCAGTTCCTTAGGAAAGCCATCAAGGTGGGTGAACCAGAGGGCTGGGTTAAAGGAGGAAGACCATCAACAAGATGGTTTGACCTAGTAACTTCAGTGATGGACTCAAGCACTCGGCCTGTGCCTGTGAAGATGTCCCAGGACCAGGCAGTGTTTGGTTCTTGTGTGCATAGAGTTGCTGTGAGTCAGAACCATCTAACAGCCAACGACTTAGCACTTCCACCAACTCTGTGTTTCGGTCCTTGGCCATTGCATATCATTTCCCATTTTCTTTTACCCTTTTGGATGCTAAATCTTAAGCATCCTTTGTAACCATACAGTAAAAATGCCTGAATTAACGTATACCATTTCTGGTTTTGTTTCAGGGAAGCAATGTTATGGAAGATCAAGATTTGTTGGAAATCGGGATCCTTAATTCTGGGCACAGACAAAGAATTCTACAGGCAATCCAGCTCCTTCCAAAGGTCAGTGATGTTACGTACTCTAATCCTAAATATAATTGCCAGAAATTTTAAATCCAAGCATACAGAGAATTTTCGTATAGGAGAAATCATTTCTACAAAAAGGTGCCGTGTCCCCAAGTACACATCTTCTTAGGTCCAAATAAACATTCAGACGCACAAGCTACTTTACGCCACACTTGATGTTACATTTGTTGTTGTTAATTGCTGTGGAATTGGTTCTAGCTTGTAGAATCATTTTTTAGATGCTAATCATCAAAAATGTCTTCTGAGTGACCTCTGCATGGAGTAAAAATTCCAGCCTTTCTTCCATCAGTCAAATGTTTCAACATTTATGCCACTGAGAGACTCTAAGTTTACCTAAAATATTGTAATGCACCAAACACCATTTGTTAGCAGAGCAATTTGGGAGTTTCCATTTCCTAAAATGCACTAACAAATTGCAAATGAGGTTGCTTAAAACAACACAAGTTTGTTTACTCACAGGTCTGAGGGATAGAAGTTTAAAATAAAGGTGTGGTCAAGACCAGGCTTCCTCTAAAGGGTCTAAGGAAGAATCCACTTAGGCTTCTTCCTAACTTCTGGTGGTTAACAGAATTTCTTGATTTTCCTTGGCATTCAGCTGCATCACTCCAATTTCTACCTCTATTTTCATGTTTGTTTTTATACCCAAACTTTATATAAAGGTAATAGTTAATTAATTTAATTCAGTGTGACCTTATCTTGACTAAGTGTATCTTTAGACTTTCCAAATAAGGTTTTGATCTAAGGTTCTGGATGGACATGAATCGGAGGGTGTGGGGGGTGCTGTATTACTGCCAATTACTACCAAGTTTCTCCTTGGAAGCTAGGATTTTGAAACTCCCTCTCACATACTTTGGTCACATGGCCAGGAGGGACTGGTTCTTGGAGAAGGACTTTATGCTCAAAAGGGTGGAAGGACAGCACAGGAGGAGAAGACCCTGAATGAGATGGATTGACACGGTAGCTGGGGTGATGGGATTAGATGTGTTGGAGTCAGTGAGACTGGCTCAGGATAGGGCGGGCAGGCTTCAGAGCTGTTTTGCATAAGATTGCTATGAGTCACAACAAATTACAACAACCACCAACTAAACCTAAGACAGGACTTACCATCTACGACAGTAAATCTTAGATTGCTACACACAGATGTCCAACCCCCTCAGATGATACTGTAGGTGCTGGAAGTTTATTGATGTGTACCATTGAGTCAGAGAGGATAAGAAGCATGTTGACTGTGGTTGAAGAAACTTCTCTGGCTTCAAAGCCTCATGTCCATGAGTGACAGTAACTCTTATAACTCCACTGACTCAACCTCCTAGGTTCCTACAGGTACAAGCATCCTCACACCCATGGAGACCCAGAGCACTGCATCTCCATCAGGTATTTATAGCTCATGTCTAAATCCTCCCAGTCCAGATGCAATTTGCCAACCAAGCATCACTTTTACCTTAAGCAGTGTGTTACCTAGCAACAGAGTTGACCTTCTGTTTCCAGATAAGAAGGATTCAGAGAAGCCTAAAGAAAGAGGTAGGATAGGATCTGAGCACTGCTCTCTCAAGATATGTAGGATTTTAATTGGGAAAAAAAGGAAAAGACATTTCAGGAGGCCAGCAGGAGCCATATAAATATAGACAATAATTTGCTGGAAGTATTCAGGAAACAATTAGAGAGAATGATTTAAAATCTAAAGTGAGTTTAAAAACTGAAGTGTGTGCAGACAGCAGAAAAGTAGGTGGGATTCATTTGTGTTAGGCTGAGGAATTTAAAGGGCACTCTGGTGGCATAGAAATCTCTGGTGGGGTAGCCTATTGGTAAGAAGTTGCACTGTAAATCCAAAGATAAGTGGTTTGAATCCGCCAGCTGCTCCAAGGGAAAAAGATGAACAGTCTCTTCGCGCACAACCTACAGCCTCTTACAACCCACTTCAGGATAAGCTGTGTTGGTTTGGATGTGGTAACATATAACAACAATTGATGTAGCCTCTTGATTTCGAATCCGTGGCAATAAGTTTCTGTTTGAGATCTGAAAGAATTTGAAATTCTGTTCTATAAGCACAGGGGGACAGGCATGACCAGATACATGGTGTAGGGTAGTTAGCCTGCGTCAATATGCAACAGGAATTAGAAGAACTAGAAAGAAAATCAAGAAAAGATTGGGGTAAGGCATGATTGCAAGCAAGGAAAGCAGATCAACTGTAACTTTTCTTATGAAATGCAGAGTGCAGAGATATTACTTGAATTTATAGAATTATGTTTTGTATTCTCCTCAGCTCTTTTCATTTCTCCAAACAAAGCCTATTGCCATAAAATCAATTCTTACTCATAGTAAATCTCCATTTGGGTTTCTGAGGCTGTAAATCTTTACAGGAGGACACTGTCTCTTCCCCCACCCCATGGATCCCTAATTTCTCATTTAACAGCCAGCCAACACATACCACACTAAACCACCATCTTTTCTCAGGAATTGTACATTATCCTCTCCAGCAAGAAGATCATATTAACCACTAATCCTAAAGAAGTTATCTGATGGAATTTGCTAGCTAGCAACACGCTGATTTTCTAATAATAGAAATTTACACGTTTGCAAGTTCAAAGCAAATAACACAAAGGACTGTAATAATAAAATTATCTATGCTAAAAGGAAAAGAATAAAGCCTCCTTAGGACTAATTCTGCCCGCTATTCCTCATATTCACTTTCCTACATGTATGCCTTTGATTATGATATTACTCCCTTCCCAAGTTTGCTCATGCTTAGTGAAGGCAGGGAACCTGTATAATGTGCCACTCAATGCCCATGGTTGCTGTTGTGTTAATGTCCAGTCCAGTTGACTTCCACTCACAGTGACACTTTGTATAACAGGGCTATACACTGCCTGACCCTCAAGATGGTCACAGTGCTTAAACTCACTATTATAGCTACTGCATCACTATTTTAAAAAAATAAAGAAGAAGAAATGGGCTTGAAGGTAAAGGAGGAGGAGAATGTTAGTCCATTCGAGCCTTCAGCATCCTGGTGGTCATCTTATCTATCTCTATAATGTGGACAACGACTCTCATACTAGACATAGCATCCCAATCAACAACATTCAGCACAGCTAGGGAGATGGTTTCAAATAAGCATTCTAGATCTATGTTAGGTTCCCAGAGGGACTCACACATTCTGTACATTTGTTCAGTGCAGGTGTCACTGACCATAAAGTCTTCAGTCACCATGGGGCAGACAATAAGGTCCAGAGAGCAAGTGAATGGCTTTAAGGTCTTTGGGCGCAAATCAGCAATGACAGGCTCAATGTAGTAGGGGCTCAGGTTACTCAGGGAGGATGGGGAGGCAGGTTTGCTGGGATCACAGCGAGATTGGGGGCCCTATTATACCACAGTCATGCCTGTTATGTTCAATCATGGAGGAGCCGTCATGGTCATGAAAGGGAAGAGTTGTGTGGCCATCGCAGCAGAAGGGTGCTTTGGGATTCAGGCCCAAATGATGTACATCATCCTGGTTGGACTCGCCACTGATGTCCAGATCATTTCCCAGGGTCTCAAGTTCTGGCTGAACATATATGAGCTGAAGGAAGTTCAGCAGATCAAACCTTACACACTCATGAGCTTAGTGGCCAACCTATTGTATGAGAAACGATTCTGTGCCTGCTACACTGATTTCTATTTTAACTTGTGGACAGAGCAAGGAATACTGCATGGTTTAAAATTAGGAAAGGTGTGCATCAGGTAAGACATCCTTTCTCTACAGCTATTCAGTCTGTACGCTGAACAGATCGTTCAAGAAGCTGTACTTTATGAAGGAGAATGTAGCATCAGGATTGGGGGAAGACTTGTCAACATCCGGCATTGTGCAGATGATACAGCCTTGCTTGCTGAAAGTAAAGAGGACGTGAAACACTTGCTGCAGAAAAGTAAAGACCACATCTTCAATATGGATTACATCTCAGTATAAAGAAAATAAAACTCCTCACTCCTGGGTCAATAGACAACATCATAATAGATGGAGAAAAGATTGAAATTGTCAACAACTTAGTCTTGCTTGAATCTACAATCAACACTCTTGGTACTTGTTATTGTTGTTACTAGGTACTCATGACTCATTGCAACCCTATGAACAAAAGATCTAAACCCTTCCATATCCTGCTCCATCCTCACACTTCCTGACTCAGAAGACGCCATTGCAGCAGTCACCATGTCAGTCCTCCTGGTTGTGGGTCTTCCTCTCCTTAGCTGACCTTCCACCCTTCCCAGCATCATATTCTTCTCCAAGGAAGAGCTTCTTCTACCAACATGCCCAAAGTATGTGAGGTGAATCCTCACCATTTTTGCCTCCAAAGAGCACTCTGGCTACACCCTCTCAAAAACATATCCCTTTGTTCTCTTGGACATCCATGGGATGTTTAGTGTTCTTCTCCAACACCAGAGTTCAACAGCATCATTCCTATTTCTGTCATTCTTATGCTTTGCCCAGCTCTTGTTGGAGAAGCTCAATATTGGCAATCAAAACTAAATGGAGTGGACTGTGGGTCACATCATCTTGGTACTAGCAGTGAAGAAATCAAAAGACTTGCATTGGGAAAATCTGTCATCAAGGACCTCTGCAAAATGCTAAGGAGTAATGTTGTTGTTGATAGGTGCTATTGAGTTGAATATAACTCACAGGGACCCTGTGAAGAACAGATCTGAACTCTGTCCTATCCTGTGCAAATCCTCATCTTTAACACCTTCAAACCTATTGCTGCAGTCACTGTGCAAACCAGCTTATTGGATTTCTTCCTTTACTTCACTGACCCTCTATCTTTGCAAGCATGATGTCCTTTTCCAAGGAATATCCTCTCTGAGCAACATGCTCAAAATATATACGATGAAGCTTTACCATCATTGCCTCCAAGGAGTACTGTGGCTGTACTTTTTCCAGGAAATAATCTGTTTGTACTTTTAGCAGTCCATAGGATGTTCAGTACTTTTATCCAACATCACAACTG